TATGTGTATATAATGTTCTCTTTCGTTGCTATGGTCTGTAAGGGGGGCCTGTCTGTAAGGGGAGGGGGAGGAGCCGCAAAACCTCGAACTTAAAACTTACACTCACTATTTTCTTCGAAAATATACGTGAGTTCCACAAAAACAACAATCTACTGCACGACATTTATATTTAATTACTGCACACTTTACACAAATAAAAGAGCTAAATAATTATCAGATTAACATGAAAGAAAGCATAAATAAGCACGCATCTATTAGTCCTTTTTGTTTCACGTTACATATGAATTATGTAGAGCGATTAGCATCATTTTGAACGAAATCAGTGTTTTCTTGTAGTTTTCTATTAATGATTTCACGTGTTGGAATAGTTGGTATTTGATCGTGAAGATGTACCATTTCAACACTTCCCAAATGATGGATTGTATTTTTATGTTTTTGTTCAGTGTCGTTGACTAATGAATACTGTTTTGGTGATGTAATGGTTATCTTCTAATACATCAATAAATAATTATAAAATATACATAAATATGACAAATGCTCACAGACGGTTGGGACGATTGATCTGCCACTACTTGCATTTCGTCGGCAATCTTGACAGGTTTTTCATCAGTTAAAATCGAACTAAAAAAAAAACGATAACAGTTAAGTGTAAATATATGAATAGATATCGAACTTTTCCAGCCGAATTAAACCATTTTTGTTCATTATTGTAGAGTTAGTCACTAAACATTCATCTAGAATAGTCTCAATGAAAAATCGATTGTCTTTAAACTGAACATTATCTTACCATTTGAGGTAACTGGAGATATTGAGAGAAATGGATAACCCGCTCTAAATTCATCATCCTCCAAACCCATATCTAATGGCCATTCGATGAACTTTGGTGGAAAAGATTCATCTTCGGCAGAACCATTGTTTTCAGATGCCATAAGATGTGTCGCAAAAAGAACGTTGAAAATGAAAATTTATCGTTGGGTCTAATCTAAAGAAAAATGCAACACGAATATGAGAAAGCAAAGGAAACGATGTTTTGCAATCAAATTAAAATGTTTTTTTTTCAATCACCAGTACAAATCTATTATTTCAGCCTCTAAAATTGATCTTATAGCATGAATGATATCTATATCTGCAAAACTTCATATTTTCCAATGGATTATGATTGCCACTGTACTCTGATAGTAACTTAATTGGACTATCATTCCTTGCAATACCTCTGTAGAAAACATGTTAGTATAGGACAGTTCTAGAATCTCAAAAGACGAATAAAAAATTGCTTCTTTCTTTATAATCTATTTTATTTTTGCAAGTTATCATATGGCATTTCGACAAGTAATAATTTCATCAGAATTAATATGTCTTTTATAACTGTGAATATTTTATACAATACTAAACTATTTGAAAATAAAAACATCCTAAAGAACAAGAAGATAAAAAAAATGTTGAATTATAAGAATACATAAAAATGATGAATAATGATAAATCTAACACATGATGAAAAGATAAAAGACAACAATTTAATATTAATATATACTATATTACTAATATTCGTGTTCATGAACTACACAATATTTCTTTTAAAACATTTATTATATTTGTTTTTCCATTTCTGCTTCCAACATCAAAGCCATTGCTAAAAGCTCTTCATCTGTGATTTCAACTTCGATTTTAACTGTTCCTGAAGTACTTTTGGTAACTTCAGTTGTTTTAACTATATTATTTTCATCGCCCATAACTGTATCAAATGGTAAATCTGAATTGTTGAATGAAGAATCATTGACCTTCTTTTCTCTTTCAACATGTTCGGGTTGACCAGATGCAGATCGTTGCTTTTCATCACCTAATCAAACAGACACATCATATTTATTCTTATCCAAAAAAGATATTAAATTATATAATACCGAGGTCTACCACCTTTTCAGTTGATGCTAATGTTGAGTTAATGTTAACATTATTTTCTTGTGTAGATTCTGGGCAAAAGACAAAAGAAAAACATAATAAGTTTTCAACTATATAATTTTTTTCTTTTTAACTTACTTGATGATTGAGACATATTAATATATACTTATAACAGGTATAATATCTGAAAACTTGTATGAAATAGATTAATAAATCGAAAAAAAATTGATAGCTTAATTCGACCATACCGTCTTTTGTTACATACACTTTCTTTTTGTTCTTAAAAATGAATATCCCTTTTTTATTTATAAATTATGCTTTTAGTGGTATAAATTTTATGTTCTTTAATGTTAGAGATTGCTTATCGAAATGAAACTATCCCTTTCTGACTACTTTTTTCCGAATTTTCAATATTATAGAAAACAAATGAGTTCTTCGTCTCTTCTGATTTACAACGAATAAATTATAAGGTTTATAATGGCACGGATACAAAATATAAATACGAGCAATACATATAAACTTTACGAATACATTTTTGAAGTTAATAAAACATTCTTTTTTCATGCTAATTCTTGCTTATCAAAGTTGAATATTATTGTACGCAGGGTTATTTCAATTTAACAAACTTTTCAGTTGAATAAATAACAAAAATACTTTATATAATAGAAACCATTTGAAAGTAATCATTTTATACACTCTTCATTTAAATATTTGCAAAAATTGGTATTATTTTTCCGAACTCGATGAAATATCAAAAAAAATGCTATGACTAAGAGAAAATTATGAGTAGAAAGTATACATATACGCTAATGTGTCACAATCAAACCAATCTTTGTCGCAAATTCTGCTTATTTTCAAAAAGTGTAAGAATAAAAACATAGAAGTATGTTCATTTATTCACGATTTAATATAGTAATAAAAAAAATTATACGCATAGGAACGATTAGATAGAAATTTTAGTAAGCTGATATAATAATTTTGCTGATAAAGCAATCGATGCTTCTAAATCAATTTTATTTTTAACTTCTGAGGTGAATCCAGTTTTTTCTTTTAGTAATTGTTCATGCGCAATAGATGCTTTTAAAGCATCAATGGTATTGACATACCCGTCCAAGGTAAACTAATATTGGTGTTGGAAGCCATTTTTAATTGCGAACTAATTGCTGATTTTAAATAGTAAGCTGTGGAATATAACTGGAACAGACGTTGTAATTTAATATCACGATCGTTACCTAGTTCTTTTATTGGAAAAAGTCATTTACCAATGTTTTATTATAAAGGATTTAGATCAGTCAAAAAGTTCTTTCAATTTCTTCAAATTTAAAAACTTTCTTAAATAAAATATTTACTTTTAATATGTCTTTCTATAATAACTAGTTAGAAGACGATATATAAAACGATTCTTTTGAAATTTATCGAATTTGCTCGAAATCCGAAATTGTATACGCTAATAGTGCATAACATATTCTAACTGAACGTGAACATGTCATCATCAAAAGAGTCCTTACTTGTCTCTCCCCAAAATTAAAACTAAATTAAAATGTAATAATTGAATATAATCAATGAAATTAATCTGAACAATCTGGAAAATCAAAACTTAAGAAAAAGATTAATTTTAATCCGATGGAAATTGCGTCATTTACTAATTATGTTAAATCGAAAAAAGATCAATCTAAATCTGATTATTGGACGATTTTACATGAAGTTTTACGGTGAATTTCTCAAACAGTTTCCATAGAAAGACATACTAGATATTCTTTACGTCATTGGTTTTTAAAAATTTGTTAGCACTTTTTGACTAACCTAAATATCGATAATTCATGCTTACCATTGAAGCGGCAGAAGTCATCTGCTGCTTCTCTTGTACAATCAATAGCATCAAGGCACGATTTAATCTCTTCAATTAATACTCGTTTAAGATTATCAGTTGGAGATATATGTCTCTCAATCAGGTGAACGGTACTCTTCGAAATATTAGAACCAATCGATGACGATGGTGATATTTCAGAGCATAATCCAAGTAGTCGTTGTCCTCGCTCCAATAACGTTTCACCAGTACGTTCGTGTTTATTTGGTTGAGAGCAAGAACGAGCATGATACCAATCTGGAGGTAAATAACTAAGTGTCGAAGGAAGTGATGGAAATTCAGAAGATGGCGAAAAACGAATAGCTGATTGTTTTGGAGAAGAAATTCTGGTAGTTTTTGGCTGAAATGGTTTCACTGTTAGATTTGGTAGTTTGTTAGCAAGTTTTGTTGCATAATGAGCATCTGATTCTGACGAAAAACCGATGTAATAGACGTTGCCCTTCAAAGATTTGCGTTTGTCATAACGTACGATACGAAGCTTTTGCTTGAGTTCATCAGTAAACTCTGAGGTATACAATACTCTTTGATATTTTTTCATCATCCTATAATAAAAAACAGACATTAGAATGGATAATTTTAAAGAACATATCCTATTCGAAACTCGAAATCAATTATCAGTTAATAATTTTTTCAAAAATTTTGGTTGAATTACTGTTAAAGTTTTGAAAGAGAAATTGTCCAAAGCAAAAGTTTCGAAATACAGATTATAGAAATAAAGTAAACTCGAACCGAAAAATTTCGAAACTAAAGTCCAAAAACTATTTCGAAAAGGGTGTGGGTGTGGGTGTGGGTGTGGGCGGGTGTGGGGGTGTGGGTG